TCCATATTTTACTTACTGAGTTTATCTCATAGTTTTTCCTTGTCCACCATTTCAGGAACCAAAACCGAGGACGGGGAAACCACGGGAAGTGATGAGTTAGAAAGCTAGCCATTTCGAGATTGATATAGATTTTAGAAATAAATCGTGATTTTGTAAGCTAGAGTATATTTGGAGATTTATAATATGAAAGAGAATTTTATAATTTGATCTTCAGATTTTGGTGGTATCAGAGTGTGATATGATAAGTTTCGAGCCTTGTGTACTTGTGGGACCCGTCTCACGAGTGTACGGCGTCTGTCGTGCCTCGGATTTAGGTTCTGGGGCGTGACAGATTGAGTGGTATCAGAGCTTATATTGAAATTAAGAGTTTAAGATTAGATTAAGCACCTTCAGATTGAGTGGCATCAGAGCAGATTGAGTGATATCCGAGCCTAGGTTTAATTGAATACCTAGGATTTGTTTGGAACTTGGCTAGCCAGTGGATTGTAGAATCGTGGTGAGATAAGTGATGGGGTTATATAAGGGACGATTCTGATTCATGTTGCTTGAATTTTCTCATCCATTTCGATGAGATGGTGATCTGATTGTTCTTGTTTCTTGCCTTCATACTCTGTGTGAAGTTGTGAAAGTGATCTTGCCCGTTATGTTCTTAAGACCTTGTTTTGAACTTGGTCATTTTCTGATTGTCCGCACTTGTTTAGACTTGTTACGTGAATAGAATTTTGTGTGCTCTTTTGCCATAATTGTGAAATCTAGGGAGTTGCAGAGATCTTTTGTTATTGATCCTGTTGGTCTCTACCACATAGTTGGTTGAGAAATTTGCTTTGTTTGTCACATGACCAGTGGAAGATGGGCAACCCTCGACTTTGTAAGAGATTCCAGGCTATTTTAGCAAATGTTGTGTGTTTTCTAGCTACGTTTTAGGAGCTGGATTACTTGGTAATTCCGTTGCTCCTTATCTTTATGAAAGTCTTATAGTGAAATTTCACTTTTTCCATTTGGAGCTTCATGGTCTTTTCATGTGGCTCATTTTTCTATATTGGTTAATCAAGAGCAGTGATCGTTCAATTGAAATTGTTGTCTTTTTGTGAAGATTGGCAAGTTATCATAAAGTTAAACTCTCTAGTGTTGCCAATCTCTATATTCTTGATACTTGGAAATTGCTTGAAACTCTTGAATCATCTTGAATATTTCTTGATATTGCTTGTGCTTGTTCTTGAAACTGAAATCCAGAAATGGATAATGATTATTGGAATCCTCATTATCTTGATACTTGTCTGAAATTAATTCTTGCATTGTTCTTGGAATCTATTTCGAATTGTCCTTGAAAAACATTCTTGTCTTGACCCTTGCTCTTGTTCAAATTTTGTATACTGCTCTTGCTCAAATCCTGCATATTTTGCTAGTTCTTGCTTTAGTACACCTGTTGATTTTCTTGATTTTTGATTTTTGTTCATATGGACACCTCTTTAGGAGGGGTGATGATTATTAGAAAATACCTATATAAGGCATCCTCATTCTTGTCTCTTGCAAGTGTTAATCTTTGTATCCTTGATGTCTCAGCTTTGACTTGACTCTAGGATGTCTAGGATGACTTGATTGTAAATCTGCTTAGCCTTCATGGGCTACGATGTGAAGGGGTAGTCTTTGAAGTACCTGATGCCCTAGAGTTTTGTTCCAAGAGAAATGGTTGTTTTATCTGGCTGCTTTGATTTTTGTTTGCCCTTTTAATTAGAAGATCGTAATCTTCTAAGTATCCTGATCCCCACTATTGATTATTCCGTTAATTAATTCGTGTTACTTGGGGTACTAGATCTTGACATCCTGGTTATATCTGTTTTTGAATTTGTGTTCTGGTTGTCATTATTGAAATCTCTTTTGTGGGCCTAATCCTTGAATTCTATTGCTTGTTTCATGGTTAACTCTTGTCTCTCAATTTTGACTGCTTGGTTAAATTTGATCTTGATTCTTGGTGAATGCCGTTTTGTTGTTGAAAATTTTTGAGGCATTCTACCTTGCGCTCTTGTGTTCTAATATTCTTCCAAGCATTCATATTTTCCATTGATTTTATTTTGTTGCAGTTCTTGAGATTCTTACATGTCTTTTGATGGGTCCAGCTTTTAACTCTTGTTAATTGCTAAAATCTGTTTCTTAATTCCAATTGTTTTGTTAAGCATGATTTTACTTATTGGTTAACCTTGTTGTGGCAGAATTTATAAGGCATCCATGCACTTGTTCATTCATTCATGATCCATATATCCATTGAATGCTTATCCGTCTTTGATAGAGTTGAAAGTTTTGTTGTACTCGTCTTTAAATCCATGCCATTCTTTGCCAACTCGTCTTGTGTTGGGTTCATAGTGTGACCCAACAACTGTTCTTCTGTAGCCTTGGCAGGATTTATTTTTATTCCTTGTGCTGTCCGTATTACCCCAACCTCTAGTAGCTTGTTTCATGGTAAATCCTGTTAAATAGTAATGTTCTGCTTTTAGGATTAGTTGTGGATTGATATCAGAGTGGCGCAGTGGAAACGTAATAGGCCATATTCTGTTCATAAAGGGTTGGTGAGGCATTTGTTTTGTCTTGGATTGTGT